ATATATAAAATGAGTGTAGAAAAGGTACCTCCTGAGATCTTCATACTTGAGTATTGCATAAGCTTTATATTGAATAAGTTTGGTGTCTTTGTGTTTCATTACTTTCGTCTTTGTCTTTATAGACCAAGAAACATCATGGTGTATAATTGTACAACGGGCAGCACTAATCCTTTCCACTGGGGTGAAGTTGGTATGATTTTACCTGTGTTTTTTAAATGCTAGAATATCTCTTAAAGAATCTTAAATGTCCATTGAGTTTTTAATCCTAGAGTATCCATGAGGCATTAAAGCCACTGAGTTAATCATTCACTATTAGAATAATAGTGACCAATGCTGCCTTGTGATCCATGTTTAATAGTGTTTCCAAAATGTCAAAATGCCCTACTGAATATTCCTATTAACTCCACCCGTGACTGAGCCTGGCTGTTTTTCTGTTGCCATCTTCAGCCCTCATAGCTAAACTGTGGCATGGGAGCAGTGCTTTTTTCCTTCTGCATGAGAACCCTCAGTCCTGATGTTGCCATTTCAAAGGCAGTATCATTTCCACTTACCACAATTGGTTTATCGAGTTATTTTTAGAGTAATAAGTGAAGGAGTTAGGATACATTTTGCCAGAATATTTCCTACTGAGCTTTCTAATTTAAATTCACACCTCAGCAGCTAGTATGTTATATGTTACTAGTTTTAAAATAGGAATAGTATAACTCGAAGCTTATTGAAACTTGAATCATTTTTAAATGATTGGTTAATGATTTCATGTTTAAAGTAAATTTATGGCATTGCTTTAGTAATAAGTCTTACTTCTGATTGAATACTTTTTGTTACACCTGCAGAACAATTTTGATTATAGAGAAAATCTTCCATGACATTTGTTTTAGGGTTTTTCTAAGGCATTTTTACTTAAATTTAAAGATTAAACATTAAAGCATATAAAAGTAAATAAAATCTAGAGTGATTTTTATGATAATTATTTTAGTTTTATTTCAGTAATATTGAAACACTTTAAAATGAGTGAATTTTTTTAGTCTTCCATTGCATTACAAAATTTAGTGAAAAACCAACTTGAGCATAATTTTGTAGTGACCATCTCAATATATATTTCCATTAAAGTATTGACATAGTTCATACTAAGTTTGTTTGTGTTGACAGTGAATAACCTAAATAAATTACAGCAGAGATTACTTTTGGGTTGTTTTAAGCTTGTTTGATGTGTTAATTTGATCAACTTAATCACAAGCAAAGGATGATCATTTTCCTTTTCTTTTTCAAGTTAAGTACAGTAATAAGAATCTGGAAAGAGGAACAGAAAGAAAGAAGCTATCGTGAGAAGTGAAATATAGAAAGTGTCTTACATTGTAAACTGACATGGGTAAAGCATTATAAGGATTTTGAGTGAATTTTAGGAAAAATTCATTCATCTAATTAAAATTCATAAATAGTGGCAGTTTTTAAACCCCTTGAATTCAGCAATCTAATTCCCATATTCTCTTAGCTACTGTAGAGACTAGAAAAGTTTGTTTTTTTAAATGAACGCTATTTGACATCTTTGGTAAAATATTTTGCATTGTAAAAACATATTTTTTTTTCAAAACTTCATTACATGGTTATTATCAAAGCTGTTACACAACTTTTCTTCCTCAGAATACCATGTAATTTCCACTTTCAAGAGGAATCCTCTCGAACAGGCCTTCAGACGGCCCAATGTAAATCTAACCTCCAATCACCTTTTATATCATTACTGGATTGCTGTAAGCCATAAGGCCCCAGCATTCCTGTATGATATCTACCTCAGGATGACTGGAAGAAGCCCAAGGTAATGATGACTAGCTCTGTCTTATCTGTTCCTCTGACTGTTAAACAACCCATGCTTACACTAAAATGCTTATTAACTCTGTATCTGTTTATGCTTATGATAAGGCTTAATGGCCTTTTGTGAATGAGAAGACTATGTCAGGAAAGCAAAGGTAGTGTTGTAAGTTACTCTAATTTGTTCTAAAGTTTGGATGATGAATTATTGTCATGTGTTGAATTCTAGGTCTAACTTTAGGTACTTTTCTGAATAATAATATTCAAAATGCTTTGATGCTTTTCCTACAGGGTGTTATGTAACTCATTCCTTCACGATGAATCCTTGTAACCAAGTACTCAGGCACCCCAGTTTTAAGTTCTATTCCAACAACCTGTTGTTCCATTATTGGAAGGGTGTCAGACATACAGTACCTGCATTATTGCTCGATCTTGCTCTCAGGTTGACAGGTCAGAAACCGTGGTAAGAAGAATAGCAGTAAATACACTATGTATTGGTAAGGTGGTGGAAGCTTGCTGGAGAGACAAAAAGTCGCTAGCATGAGCTTTACCTTTAGAATGACTAACCTAATTATCACAATCACAATCAAGATGCTAGGACATTTCTTAGAAATTTGAGATATTTAGGCTGATTATGGATCTTATCTTACTGGGTCGTTGATCCACCACCAAAATCACATAATGTAGGAAATGTCCTATATCCAGGATTGTCATTGTTATTATAAGCTGAAATTGAGCCCTTTTCCTTTCTCCCTTAAAAACTTAGGGGTGAGTTTTTACAGGGGGTTAAGGGTAAAATGTCTTGCTTTAGGTGGGTGATGCAGTTTTATATGAAAAGTGTAGGAGAGTTCCAGAAAATTAATTACTTCAAATACCTTATCTGCCCATTCAGCTTATAATATGCTAATTACAGTTTTTGACTAATTTTCCAGGTTGGGGATGACATAGTTTAAAAACAGTAACAAATGTAAAACTTTGTATTTTATTATTGTCATAGTAGCCCTTTCTTTCCTTTTTTTTTTTTATTGAAACCCCACAAAAAGCTTTCCTGTCTTTGCCATACAGTTATAGTGAAATGTACTATAAAATATGTATTTTATTAACTACATTGGTATTATAGTGGAGCCTTTGATTGGAGAGTTCAGGATTTGGGTATTTATGTAGGTAAGGAAGATGCTCATTCCAGAATGTCCATCGATTGCTCAAAAATAAAAAGTGAGGTATCTGCCAGTGATAGTGTGTTAGGATCTGAGTTAATTTTAGGTATTTCCTGTGAATTTTCTTACCATGATGTTCCTAATCTTTATTTTAATTATTGAAATATGTGAGAGGTGTCGAATTAAACAACTTTAAAGAAAATGTTTTCAAGTTTTTCTAAAATGATCTGTAAAATGGAATATTTACCATTGGCAGCATTTGTTCATGGCCAAAAAACAGGTGAAAATAGTGGCATTTTCTGTGCATTAATGATATTACATTTTATGGCAGAAAAATCAGAACTGGTTCCAAAAAAGTAAAAGGTAAAATGTATCACATTGCTGTATACAGAGAAAGGGGGCTCAGTAAACTTAAAAAAAAAACACACAAAAAACAAACTAGCCATATTTCCTAAGTGGTTCAGAGTACTTACTGCTGCATAATATATCATCTTAAACTTAGTGGCTTAAAACAGCAAGTCACTTTATTATTTTTTTTCAATGCATTATTTCTCTCGGGATCAGGAATTTGAGAAGAAATCAGCTGGGCAGCCTTGGATTGGGGGCATTCGTGTTGTTGCCACATTAAGCTGAAAGAGCTAAATTATGATGTGGACACCATGAAGTGACTAAGGGCCAGGAGTCACTGATTCTTCAGGCAGTGTATAACTTCAGATAGGGTCTTTGCAGGGCCAAATGATAACATTAAGGAAATTAAACTTACTTGTACATGGCAGCTGAAGGCTTCATGGAGCAGGTATTTTAGCCAGAAAAGTAGAAGCTTCTTTGCCTTTTCTGACCTGTCTAAGGAAGTCATGCATTATCACTTTTGCCTCATTCACTTAATCACATATCCTCTTAGATTCAAGGAGAAGGGAGTACAGAAAATGCTCAAGGTGAAGCTATGAGACAAGTGAGACAAAAGTACATTGCATTCCTTTTTGGAAAGTGCAGTCTGCTATAGTCGATCTTATGGTCAAAACAATTCATACTTCTCCAGCATGAAAGTACAGCTCTTCTTTCTCCCAAGTTTCCAGTGGCATAGATTTAACTCAGTTGCAGATTAGACTGTTTTGGAATGATACTATAAATATAGTTCCCCAAGTATATTTCCTTAAGTATTAGTCTGAAAACCTGTGAATTAGAGCAAGTTACCATATTTCCATATATGTGGTATGTGATAAAGAGAAAAGTATAAAATAATGGCTTTAATATTCAAAAGAGAATATGGGAGATGTCTTACTTTTCTCTCATTGCTGAGACAAAAATACTCCACACCCAAAGTTAGTTGAGGGAAAGGTTTATTTAGCTGACAGTTTGTAGAAGTTTCAGTTCATAATTGGCTGGCTCCAAGGCAGGGTGACATATGGCAGAGGGGCAACAATTCATGGTGGCAGAAGACAGTAAAAGCGACAAGAGAGAAGACAAGCCTCTTTCTGTCCCTTATATTGTATCCAGGCAACCAGGATTAGGGCCATGCCAAGCCAATCAGTGTACTGATTTAATAATCACAAACTCTAAACTCAGCCCTCTCTGAAAAGCCCCAGTTGACTCCATGAGCCTTTGGGGGGACATCTAGGCCAAAACCGTAGCAGGAGACACTCGGTAAGCACTGATTCATAAAAGTTCTGAATTCCAGTCAGGCAGGTATGTATTGATTTCTAGATTAGGACTCAGTCCTTCCCTCTGGAATATTGCAGAAGCTACTGATTCTGTTCTCTTGAGTCATCCTTTTTCCATGAAAAGTGGTGTGTTTGTGTAAAATGAATTAGTCTATCCTGCTTCTTGTTTCTAGAAAATTAGCAGTCCAGGGCAGTGTCAGAAAACTTTTCTTCTAAGATACCATGTAGTAAATACTTTTTAGATTTTATGGGTCATTTGGCTTCTTTTGCTACTATTCAACTGTGCTGTTAAAGAATGAAAGCAAACTGTACTTGGTGATGCTTACTATAATTCTAGCTGCTTACCTATAATCCCAGCTACTTGAGAGGTTGAGGCAGGAGGATCTCAAGTGAGGCAGTTTAGTAAGACCCTGTCAAAAGGGGTAGGGGGAAATGACTGTGACTGTGTTCCAGTAATAGTTTATTTTCAAAAATAGGTGGTGGGCTGCATTTGATAGGCCTTGGTTTTCTGATATTTAATAGAGACTTGTTTTCATTTTGTGTTCTCTCTGTCCTTTTGCATGTAAATTGATGTGATTGCTTTAAAAAATTATGAATATTTTGTGTATTTATTTTAAAGCAGTCTCCTCCATTAGACAAAAGACATATTTACAGATCTATTTGGAACAAAGTATTTTTGTTATAGCGTTTGAGGTTGCCGTGGACAGCACCTTTAGATCTTAAATCCTTGCGTCTTGGGTCCTGCTCTTCATACAATAGTGTTTCTTAAAAACAAATGTTTTTAAGATCTAAAGAAGCCATTTGTCTGAAAGTTTCTATGAGTCACTACTTCAGGTCATTCTAAAGTCTTAAAGAATTTTTTATCTTTATGCTAGATGTTATATTCAGATCACCCTTAAAGAATTCCTTATTGACATTTTACATACTGTGATGATTAGCTTGATTGTGTCTTTGGAGCCACCGAGGGGATTGGTGGAGCACACTTTTGAGTGTGTCTGAGTGGGTTGTAGAGGTGTGGCCTTGGGTACTATATATAGCTTTTGCCTTTTCTGTCTCATACTGTTCCCCTGCTGTGCTTCCCAGCCACCATGAAATAAACATCTTTGCTCCACTGTACTTTTCCACCATGTTTCTGCTTTGGAGCCAGCTGACCATGGACTGAATCCCCTTAAAATGTGAACTGAATTAAACCTCTCCCACTTTAAGTTGTGGGCATTGGATATTTCCAGCAATGGGAGAGCAGACACAGTCTCTCCATGAGACTCTCTCTTCCTTTCATGAGATAGATCATCTTTGTCTTTCAAGAAACATTGGCTGGATTGAGTTTTATTAGGTAGAGTTTCTATTATCCTCCCATGTTACCACAAGTGATAGGTTTTTTTCTTCCACTTTCCAAAAATACTTTACTTTGAGGGTGAGGGGGTGTTGGGTGTTGGGTGTTGAACCCAGAGTCTTTGCCCACTGTACCATGGAGCTACAGCCAGCCCCTATTTTTTTTTAGTGGTAGCCCTCATCAGCAGCTTCCTCAGAGCTCTTCACATCTTCCACTGCTAGCATTATTTTCCTGGTCCTTTCAGATTTCAGTAATGAGCTCCTTAAGGGTCTTACAGGTTTTGTCCATCACCTAATTCTAAAGTCAATACTGTATGTTTTAGATTTGCATTTTAGCAGCCTGTCACTTCCATTAGTGCTAAAAACTCTTTTACTGTTTTCAGCACTGCATCTCCATTCACCACAGATTTAATGTTACAAAAAACTTATTTATGTGTCAAAATTTCTGAAGGAAATTCTAGAAGGAATTAGCTGGGTGATTCTGGCTCAGGGTCTTTTAAATGGTAGCAGTAAAACAGATATTAGAGAAGGAACGCTGATGATAGAGGGGAGGAAGCATGCAGAGAAACTGGGGTGGCTAGGCTTCTTCCTCTCTTCCTGTAGTCTGAGAGCCTCTCCATGTGGTCTCTGCACATGGACTAGTTTGAGCTTCCTCGCAGCATGACAGCCTCAGGGACAGTTGGACAGCATACATGGTTACCTGCCAGAAGGCTCCAGGGGTTAGCATTCAAGTGAGCAAGGCAGAAAACTCTTACCACCTTTTCTGCCATAGCCTCAGAAGGTCATAGTGTCATTTTTTGCTTCATTCTGTTAGTTTTAAGTTACCTTTGCCTCTTGATGGGAGGAAGATGATCTGGGTGACATTGTAGGTAAGCATGTAGAATGGCAGATAATACTGCAGCCATCTTTGGAAATTAAAATTTTCTCTAAATCAGAAGCAGCCAATGAAAATCTTATCTGAGATTTGTCCTGTATGAGGCTTTCTGAGTATCAAAGGAGGAATGGTCCTTGGCCTCTGGGGGACTACAGTGTAGATTAAAAGCAACAAGGGCCTAAAATTTTTTTTAGACAATTTTATAAATTTTAAGTATGAAATCTTACAGTTTTTATTATTTAATTTCTTCAGATATTTAGTGAACCAAGGTACTGAGCTTTCCACCTTTTATTAGGACCCTAATATAATACCTAATAAACTCATGTCATTCAGAATATCCCTTTTAGTCATTTACATTGAGTGTCAGCTAGATAAAAATTAAATTACTGTGTATTTTAACATAATTTTAAATAGTATAACTCGGATATCCATCATACGGATTCCAGGGACCAGGATACGTGATATTGCATGCAGAAGCAGTATAAATTGTTCTTGCTTTTGAAATATAGCATTTTGTCACTGTTAGAAACAATGTCTAAAAATACAGCTTGTGGTCTTGTTTGTGGTTTTGTTTTTTTTTTTTTATCTCGACTCTAGCTTTACTTCTCTGGACTTGATATTTTTTTATCTGTGTGGTTCTCAGGGGAACATTTTAGAGCTATTTTTAGCAACCACAATTTGTGTTCCAGGTGCTACTGGCATCTAGTAGGTAGAGGCTATAAATGCTGCCAACCATCTTAACAGTGTTCAAGAAAGCCCCCACCACAAATTAAATGACTCAGTATATTATAGATGAGGTTAAGCAACCTGAGATGAGGTTAAGCAACCTGAGATTAAATGATCATTCAGATCTTACCCTACTCCAAGAGATTGTGATTGGTTATATTTTAAAGGTTGCCATAATAAAGAATAAATACTGAGACTATACATGGCAGGTAGTCAGTTTTCTATGGCATGTTAATCAAAGCATAGAGGTGTACAGATTTTCTTTTTATCCTCTGGAGTATTCAGGCTAGTATTTTATTACCTGATATTCTCTGAATTTCTCATATATACTTGTTCCACCCCTCTCCCAATTTTATATAGCAATCATTTTTGGAATGGCTTGATTAGGGTTTTCTTTAGGGATAATTCTGTTTTTTGATGCAGTCTGAAAATAAATTAGGTGAGAATTGCCAAGGAATTGAGAAGAAAAACTTTTGAAGATAGGTAGGTAAAACTTTTAAAGGTAGATAGGTAGATGATTTTGGAAAACCATGTTAACTGTTTGTGTGTATGATGAGATTCAGATATACTACACTAGCTGTGATAGCATGTATTGATTTATGAATTTGTTATATCTCATTCTCTTAAGAAAAATGCCCTTTTTTCTATAAATAGTGTATCTTTTTGCCCCCATGCCCAGGTTCTTTCTGTGTCACTTTTTCCTGTCTAGATACAACTTTTGATGTTTGATAATTTTTCTTCATGTTTAATGGAGGATTTATTTTGGAATTACTTTATTGAATGAAATAAGTTTTCTTTAATGATCAGTATTGCCCTTTCTTTCTGTAATCTGAATTCAAAGTTTCCTTCTAAATATACTTGAATGTGTTACCAGAGTTGCTTAGCTGATGATACTGTTTTGATTTTCCTCTCTCTCTTTTTTTTTTTTTGGTACCCGGGATTGAACTTGGGTCCTTGGGCTTTCAAGGCAGGCGGCAGAACCGCTGAGCTAAATCCTCGGCCCGTTCCTATTTCTAATGTTGTAATTTTCTACTATATTCCCAAAAGCCTCTAATTTGGGGACTTTATAAACTATGCATAATGCTAGTTCTTATTGTGGGAATATAAGTGGAATTATTTTTAAGTATTTATTTCTCCACAAATTATTTTTGTTTCTTTCCCTAGTTATCATAGGTAATGATTATCATATAGCCATTACTGCTAAAATTAGTGTTGTGATATTAGTGACTTACAGTGAGTAATAATAAAATGACAGATACAAAGAGTATGGCTCCTTGCCCTTTTTAATAACTAACAAATATTAAAATCTATTATTTTTGTACAAGGGATTTTGATCAGGGGTTTGGGGAGTGGAGTGAATATCTATTTCAGAAGTTTTCAGCATAAATAATTGATTTCACAATACATGCAGATAATCAAGTTTGGGGCCAATCAGTGTTAAAAAGAAAGTTTTTGTGTATATATATATTTTTTTTTCAATAGAGTTGACTAAATGGTAATGAGTATTTCTGCATACTTTGCTTCTCTGATGCTGCAGAGTTGGGATTATAACAAAGTACGTTATGAATTTACAGGAAGCCTTATTAAATGCAGCTGAACTAAAATGTAAAGAACAAAAAGCAAGGGAAAATGAATTGAAACCATTTATTTACTTAATACTTCATATATATAAAATTTGACCTTAAAGATGTTGGATACAGGGCTAGGGATTTAGCTCAGTGGTTCTGCCACCTGCTTCACAAGCGTAAGGTCCCAATTTCGATCCCCAGTACCAAAAAGAAAAAAGATATATATATTGAGAATTTCATATGTCAATAGAACACTCTTTAGCAGTAGTAAATTCATTTGCTGCTATTTCCAAAAGAAGTTTTGTTTTTGTTTTTTTCCACTTTGGATTTATAAAATGCTTTCCCAAGATGCAGAAATGCTCTTATTCCCTGCTGATTTGTTAAAGTTATTAAATTATATTCTTTAATTTTAATACTGATTTCTGTATTGGGGAAACTGATACTCTGGACATGATGGGATTTTTCCTAATCTAGGCACTATATGAATCTATCCATTTTTGTTGTACAGGATGATGAAAACAATAACTCGTCTTCACAAAGCTATGGTGTTTCTTGAATATTTCACAAGTAATTCTTGGGTTTGGAATACTGATAATGTCAATATGTTAATGAATCAACTAAACCCTGAGGATAAAAAGGCAAGTATTACCTGTTTTATGTTAGAAAACAAGTAGCATACCAATTAGAGAACCACTAAGCAGCCTGAGAAATAGATATCACCCACTACCATTATGCAACCAGAAAATCATTGGTCTGTTGTGGTCTCATTAGAGCTTTAGTCATAGTTATTGGTGAGGAGATTAAAAAGTATTCTATCTGGGCTGGGGATTTAGCTCAGTGGTGCCGCCACTTGCCTTGTAAGTACAAGGTTCCAAGTTTGATCTCCGATACAAAAAAATCCACAAAATAAAAACAAAAAGTACTCTATCTTAGAATGTATAAAGTATTTGACAGTGGCAAAGGCATTTTTAAAATATCAAAATGCTAACATCCTCCTTTCCCCAGAATTGATTCAGAGAATTTAACATCTTTCTATATTTTTTCTCCAAATGCCTGTTTTCTGAGTTTTGAAAAAAAAAGTTCAAAACTGTTTTTCATACACTTTTACTTTTTGTCGTTCTACATTTTGCTCTCCTCATTTGAAACTTGAGCTCTTTATATATATGTTCTTCCTGAGGTTATCCTTGATATTTTAATAGTATACCTAACAGTCTTAAGTTAGCAATTTCAGTGGCCCCTCCGTAGTGGCATGTAGGACTGTAAAATGTTTCTGTTGTGATTACCACCTCCAAACATGAATGTATTTCAGTTGTCTGTTTTGTACTTGGAAGGCAGCCACTGTGCCACTGAGCTAAATCCCTGACCCTGTGGTATAAATCTTAGTGCTTTGTATGAATCACACATTGTTTTCTTTTTTTTGCCCTTTTTAAGTTGTATTTTTGTTTGTGTTTTGTTTTTGTTTTGCAATTTCATGTTTTTTCCCATCTATTTTTGTTGCATTTATTTTTTTTTCTAATTGTTTTGGTAGGTTACCCTGAGATAACAGTATCTTAATTTAGCAAGGACTACTACAATTCATGCTAACACTTTTCATGGATAATGAAGGATCAATGCCTATCTGCTGCTGTTAGTACATATTTTAACTGTATATAAATTAAGCCTGACAGGCATTGTGTTTTTTTCAGTCTTAGTCTGTTTTGTGCTGGTACAGCAGAATACCTAAGATGGGATATGATTGGCCAGCATTATCACCCTCTTACTGTTCTTCCTGTCGTCTTCCACCTTTCTGGAGTCAGTCTTCATTCTAGAGTCATTCTCCTTCTGTTCTAAAAAATATCCTATGGTATACTTCTACTGTGGATATTCTGCTGATGTCAGATTGATTCAGTTTGTCTCTGCAAACATTTTTATTTCACCTTTATTTTTCAAACATATTTACCCTGGTATAGACTTCTGTGTAAGCTTTGTTCTATAGTAATTTTATACACTTAATTGTATGTTATCTGTGTTAGCAGTAATTTCCTTTGAGCGCTTGGGAAACATTGTCTCAGTCTTTTGGCTTCCATTGCTTTGCTGAGAAGTCTGCTGGTAGTCTAATACTTGTTCTCTTGGTGATAATCCAAGAGATTTTCTTTTTCTTATGTATTCTCTTATACCTAGGTATATATGTGTGTATGATTGATCTTTTTTCATTTTGTGCGGCTTGATATTTTACCATTTTGGGAAAATGTCTGGGCATTATGTTATTGCTTAAGTTCCATTCTTTTTCTCTCTCCTATTGGAACTCCACACACATGCACACACATGCACACATACACATGCACACATGTAAGTATATGTATCTTCTCATATCTCCTTGATAAATCAAGTTTTCGTGTTTGTGTGGTGTTAATTTTCATATTTTAGTGATTTATTTATAGTAGCATTTTTCTCCCTCAAATTTGATATTTTTAGGTAAGTGATATTGTAGTGAACAGTTTTATGCACACAGAAAATCACAATCGTTTGTCTGTATCCTAAGGAGCACTGAGCAGTAGATAGATAGTTCTCTTATTTTGCCATGAAGATACTTTTTCTGATTTGTCATTTTCATCAAATTGTCTAGTAGTTTATTTAAACTCATAAGCTAGCTTTCGTAATGTTTTTTTCTTGAACATACAGGAAGAAAGAGAATGCAGTTAGGAACTAGAAATAAAAAAGTGAAGGGATTTCCCTTTAAAAGAAGTAAATTTTTGACAAGTTTTTTAAAAAAATCACTCATTTAAATAATTTTTTCTCGTTAATGTAGACCTTCAATATTGATGTACGACAGTTACATTGGGCAGAATATATAGAAAACTACTGCATGGGAACTAAGAAATACGTTTTGAATGAAGAAATGTCTGGCCTCCCTGCAGCTAGAAAACATTTGAACAAGTAAGTTTTACATGGGTTTGAGTGTATCTTGTCTTCTTTATAAAATATTACCACACAAATGTTTCTGGTAAGCTGGTAACCTATATATTTAGGAAAAGTGCTTACTTTTGGGTTGGAACTATGGCAGTATTGATTTAGCTTAAAATTGTGCAAGCCTACTGTCTTTATCAGTGTGTATATTCCTTAGTATGAAGTTAAGATAAATCATTTGAGTTTTTAAAAATCACTATTATCTTCTCATATTGCTATTGAAAAAGTGAAAATATTATTAAGAAAACAACTTTTAAACTAGAAGTTATTTATTTACAGGTTTTCTCATTCATTTTCTTAGTCAAATAATTCTTGAAAGAGGAGAAAAGATGTAATAATACATCATTCAGTTTAGAATTTTATCTTTGTAAATTAGAGTTAGAATCTTCTTTGTCTCTTTGTAGAAGTAATATGTACTGAATTTAGAAAAAACAGGTTTTAAAATTACTGATAATCTATCATTTAACCAGTTGAATAGATAAACTGAGGTATAAGAATGTTGTGTTTGCCTACACATATTGTATTAAGTGGCAAACAAGAATTTTTAACTTTTAACTCCTTGTTCAAAGCTTTTTTTTTCTTTATGACATTGTTCCTATATTGGTATTCTGTCTTGGACTGCATGCTAAAATTAATGGAATTGTGTGACACTATTTCATTATTGCCATGTTTTACTCGTAGATGAGGACTTGTGTGTTGGACTTTGATCATGTGACTGTCAGGTATAATAAGTTCACTTGTCTGATAAGTTGTAAACAACTAAAGATGTCAAATGAATTTACAGTACTTTGCCTGTATTATGATGTATATAATGAACAGACTGTTTTAGGTTACAGTGACACCTCAGTGCACATACTTAATTCTTTCCATGATTCTGGTTGTAAACTGAATTGGACAAAAACTACATCAAATTCAGTGGTTAGGGTCAGTGTTGTCCTTATGAGGAAATTTGATTTGCTTCTTGTGCTATTTGGTTTGTGACCAGAATCATGGGAAGAATTAAGTTTGTGAATCAAGGTACCACTGCAGTAGGAAGTTCAAGGCATTTGTGTATTTTATGTACAGTATTCTTAATGCCTAGTCCATTACTGGGCACACAAGAATGCTGATTAGTATTTATTGAATGAGTAAGTGTATAGATTCTCGAACACTTTGCTGGATTCCTTGTTAAAATAGAGGTGTGGTGTATTATTTGATGCACCACTGTCTGAGTCATGTACAGTCAGGTTAGTTTGAATTTTGCTGACGTTCTAATTTTTAGAATCTAGTTTTTAAATGTTTCAGATTAATATAAATTTGAACTATAATTTAGTTTAAACCCAAGCATTAATGAGCTGCCATCCAGAAATACTTCATTCTAGAAAATATTGTCTAGCATATCTCTTGATTTGTTTTTCAGGTTGCGGAACATACGTTATGGGTTCAACACTATCCTTGTGATCCTGATCTGGCGCATTTTTATTGCAAGGTCACAGATGGCAAGAAACATCTGGTACTTTGTGGTTAGTCTGTGTTACAAGTTTCTGTCATACTTCAGAGCGTCCAGCACTATGAGATACTGAAGACCCAGAATTTCGCATTAGAACATCTGTACATTTGGTGGTCTAAATGCACAAAATGTAAAATGTACTTATGTCATCTCACCTTTTGTCCAGACGTTAAACCATCTTAGATCAGTGTGTAGAAAACATGGTACATTTTATGTAACATTTTAATGTTATGCTCATAAAACCTAGCGAACACACTGTTGTATGCCAGCTCAAATCTGTCTACAAGAGCCACCAATGATTTAACATTTTGGTCCATGGAAAGAAAAGGGTAGGATAAAGGCAAGCATAGGGAAATAGGAACATTGACCAGTATAACTGTGCAATTCTGGAACATATTAATTAAAAATGCCTTAACATATAATTCTAATATTCAGTGCAATGGAAAGAATTTATTTGGACAGAATGCTAGCTAAGTTGGTAGATACTTGATCCTTAAATGTTTGGTTTCTTTCATCAGTTATAGTGGGTTTTAGTTTTATTAAAACTATAGCCAAACTATTTTTACTTCCTTCTGTAAGTTATTAGGGGTATTAAACATGAAAAATATGTTCTCACTTTTCTTTTTCTGATTAAATGCCTGGTACATATCATATTTCTGTAAGTATAATCAGTTGCTTTTATAATCAGAAGGCTATATATTAAAGACCCTATTGGATCTAAACGGGTTTGAAAATCTATATCAATAAAACTGTTAGCATCAAAAAGAGTAGGAATAAACTTTCTTGTCCAAATTTTGATCAAATAAAAACCCTGTGATACTGTGTTCATGTTTGAAATGAGGATTTTTTGAGACTTTTGTGCTCTCTTCCCTTTATAAAAATTGTTTCAGGTCTTTAAAAAGGCTCGTACTGTCTTTCAAATGAAATCTGAAAGTGCATTATTATGGAAGAATGTATTTGCAGCTAGTAATCACATTAAGAAAATATCCTCGTGTGTAAACACGTACTAATTTTGACATTGAAAGTTGAATTTCTTCAAGAAAATATGCATAATGTGTATAAAATTAAATAAAGGACTTTATTTACATGCCACATAAAGAGGCAAACGAATGAGTTCAAAGATATCACTTATTTTTTCTGCATGTGGTTTTAGGTTTAGAAAGAAATAAATTATAGAAACAAGTTATAGAAGATAATTGCATATTTTAACAATACGTTATAATTCCCTTTAAAATTCAATAAATAGTTTAATGTTTTAGCATACATTTGGTTTAACAGATCATTCAGCATATCACTGTTCTAATGAAGCTGTACTATATTTAAATCATTAGCAGTGTATCCTGAATATATTTAAAGAGATCAATTCATAATATAAAAAGTTACGTACAACTTTTCATCCTAATTTTCTTTGTCAGTTTAAATGCCATGTATAAGAAGTTTATTTTGCTGTTGTGGAAAAACTAAAGTAAAGGAAATCACCTTCTTACATGCAGGTGTATGATCTTAAAAAATGCTTCCATGTTGAAGCTAATAGTAAAACTTTTAAACATTATTTAAAAACAAATATCGATGTAAATACCTACATATCCTTTAGAATGATACTAAAGTCTCTGGTTTAGGACCATACCTTGTATGAGGTGTGAGAGACCACGAGAGTGTGTGAAAGTGGGATAAATGATGAGACCTTTGATTTAAGGTGGTCTTTGTAATGTATATTGAGCACTCCATCTCTCCAAATACATTTCCAAAATGTGTTGAAATTTGTAAGATTTTATACTTCTGCCAATAACTAGAGTCAGATCAATTTGTGTTTTACAGAAGAATCAGGGCACAACTTATGCAAGCCTGTGACGTACATAGAGCTTGTTTTCTGAACAGTTCTATTTTCCTTGGAATTTAAAGAAATATTAACTAGTAGGGTGCTGAGGCCACTGCATTAATTTTGTGTTTGGAAATCTGTTGTGAAAGAATGGTAAAGAATAAATTAAGTTCTAAAATGAATATAATAAGTATATAGATTAACAATCAAATACCATATAGATTTTGGATTTAAGTCAAAGATTTTGGAAGTCCACTACATGTTACTTGCTAGATAATGTTTATAGTTCTATGTTTTCGCCACACACTCATTTAACTGGACCACCTATAAAATAAATTTATTTCATTTAATTCATTTAATAAAACTGTATTCTAAAACATTTGGGTGCCCACCCCATTCACTCTTAGCTCTGGTATATGTATTTGTAAATTGTGATGTCATTGTGTCCATATTTAAATTTGCTTACCAACACTAATATGTTCTAAAACTCAGTGCTGAGAAGATGGCACTGTGGTTTGGGGTTTTTTGTTGTTGTTTTTGTTTTGACTTCAGGATGCCATACACTATTCTTTTAATCTCTGTAAATAAAGCTTGGAAGCAGGGAGGGAAAAAATTCTCATTTTCCCCCTTTCTTTGTGTCTCCAGGAACTTATTTCAGATTTTAAAAAATTTTTAATGTAAACTAATACTTTTTATAAGTAATAAATAGAAGCATTATTGGGTGCCTATGTTTGTAAACCAAAAAGTAATAAATCCCTATATTTCCATTATAGTATTTATTGTATTTTTATGCTATGAAATCTGTCCATGAGACAATGTGGTTAGAACACAGGAAGCAGTCTTTAAACCTCTTGTTGTCTTTAGGTGCCTTCATTCATTATTATATCCTAATTTTATTTAAGTCTGGGTTGCTCACAGCATTTTAGTAAAAGCATACAGATAGTAAGAACACTTTCTTTTAAAGTATTATTTTTATGTATTAGCTAGAACAACTAGGAGTCCTGCCAAGTTGTCATTAAGCGCCTCTTCTCCACATGAATGATGTCCTTTTATTGTAATTTATAGATATATTTGGAACAGTTGGTCTGACTACATAAAAAGGATTATTCATTGGTAGTAAAAATTGAGCCTTTAGGGAAAAGAGGGTTCCTCTTAGTCTGGGGTAAGTGTCAGTATAAAAGGTCTTCTAAGTATCCTCTTTGGGGTGTCTTCCCGGTCCTGACTTGAAACCATCTCCACTAGCTTACTCTGCTTTGAGAACTTTATCTTTGTTGGTGAGGGAAAGCAATGTGTGCTACATAATTTGATAAAATAAATGAGTTTAATTATATTCACAATAAGTGATAGAAGATGTATGAACTATTTTCCTAGGTGAATTAATATTTTTGTCTTGAAGCATTTTTTTAGTGATAGAATAAGACTGTCTTTTATTACGGCGGTACCATTAGCATATATCTCTGCTACCCTTGAAATTCCTAAACAAATCATCTTTGTCACTTAGGTATAGTTGTGCAAAACTTAATTCCTTTGATCTTTTTTCCTTACAGAAAAATTTGAATGTTTGATATGCTCCTTTGCAAATTGATGTCTAAAATGCATTTACTGAGAAAAAGTCAAAGTGGTATGGATTTAATGACTTTATAGTGGACTTTAATTCAGAGGAGTAAGGCTGTAATTATTTTGTGTTTGGCCAGAGATTAGACTGTAAGATCTGTAACTTTATATGAAGAGGAGAAAGTTGATCAGAATGTTTCTGATTCATGAAAACATATAAGCATTCCTAACTCTTTAAAATATTTAAGTTTTTTTCCAGACATTCAACTTCATTTTTATGTTAAAATTCCCTGAGATTGAATTAGGTATCTTTTAGATTTGTCTTGGGACCAGAATTACTTTATTATCTTCTGTGAAACAGGAAACCTAATTATTTTTTTCTCTCATAAAAGTCTTTAGAGCAAGGTGAGACTAGGAGAGTGTTGGGTTGAACCATATAAAAATGCCCGTATGTTTTTGACATATAAACACAATATATGACTCAACCTAGTATTATATAGCTGCCTTTTAAAAAAAAGAAACACCTGTATATAGGCATACAGATAAAGAGTTCTGTTTCATGTAGTCATCCAGGAAGATTATACATTACATCAGTATTTAATTGTTTGACATTTAATATTTAATTCCTTGCTTTCTTTTCTTCATATCCTGCTTTCTTGCTTTTTTCAGGTTCCTGTTCAGTTCCTCTCAATTGGTTCTTAGTTTGTTGAAAACAAAGCTAGCCTTGTACCTTTTACATTGTAAAACAGTAGTTAATATTTGTTAAGTGCTTACTCTGTTCCAGGGAGTAATGTAAACATCTTACATGTAATAACTTATGCTCTATAACAGCCTTCTGTTGAAGGCACTTCTATGACTTTTTTTTTGTAAGTGTAGTTACTAAGACATATGATGTTAATAACTTACCTTACATCACACTTCTAGCTGCAATACTCAAGTCTAGCTACAAAACTCACAACCTTGTTCTGTTTAACTTTAGGTAGTCCTCCATATCTATATCCATGGGTTCAGCCAACAGTGGCCTGGAAATATCTGATGTAAAATTGCATCTGTACTGTACACACAAGACTTTTTCCTTGTCATCAGTGTCTAAATAATACATACAACTATAGTTTTACATCATTTAACAATATGTATGGAAAAATAAGCCCTTAAGTTATTTGTGTGAACATGAGCATGTTTAGACAAAGATAGATATTTATTATATACTAGGCCCTAAAATACATAATGTTTTACATCATTGATTGAAATACTGTTATATATCATTGACAAAGATGTAATGTGGTACGTGATTATTTACACAGCATTTATATCATATTAGGGATTATAAGTAATGAGAGATGATTTGCAGTAGACATGCTGATGTATAAGGTTATGTGGAAATACTACATTTTATATAAAGGCCTTGAAGGTTTTGGTACACATAGGAGGGTCCTAGAACTAATTAATTATAGGAATAGAAATTTCTTATCTCAGAGTTCTTTGATAGTACTCTTACTTTTCATTTTTAAAATTTAGTATTCATCCATTCAGCAAATACTGAATGCCTCTTATGGCTTAGGCGTAGTATTTTATATTACAATTTATCTTTATCATCAAACTGTAAGCTACGTGGTCTAGGCCCTTGTTTGTGGTTTGTCTGAACAAAGGAGTGGTGGCATATGGAAGCCTCCTCACACTGGGAGAGAATGTGCAGAAGCTGAGTGTGTGGAGAATAGCGAGGAAATCCTTTGTGCTACTGAAAGATAAGTTGGGTAAGGAAAGATGAGGCTAGGGAAATAACGGGGACAGGTGAGGAGCTTTGCATGCTCTCACAGCTCTCTGTATGTTGGAGAATGGCCATCAAAAACTAAGTTTTTCCCAGCCAAAGCACATCCA